AGCTCACTGTGTATCGCAGGCTGGCCTCCAACTCATGGTGAGCCTCCTGCCTCAGCCTCCTGAGTGCTGGGATTATGGAGCCCGAACCACCACACCTGGCTTAGTGTATTTCGCCTGAATGTTTCCCAAACTCCTCATTGCCCCGGAATTCATCCTCTGATGTCAGAGCAGCCCAGGCCACTTGGTGCCAAGAGAGAAGTCATTCCACATCATGAGAACTACAAAGAAGAGACTTCACATGGCTCTGCTGTTCCCGCACCGGGCAGAACAGAGGTGGTATCACCCACTGCCTGCATGTCCCCCGCCCATGCCCTTCCTCTCCCTCTCTCCTGCTTCTCAGCGTGAGACTGGGATGTAGCTGTGTGCGGAGGCCCCAGATTTCTCTCCTGGGTGGCAGCGTTCTCTCTGCAGCCTCCTGTGCGTAGGCAGTGCCGTCCCGGAGCTAAGCATTTAGCCCAGCTCCTCCAGGCATGGCTACCTGCCTTATTTTTTATTTATTCTGCAGGGCAGAGATCAGGCCAAGGGTTCCCATAGGCCAGGCGGGGTGAGGCGGGGCAATGTGCTCTACCTCAGAGCCACATCCCTAGCCCCCTTCCTGTCTCAGAATAAAACAGAATGACTGCACGTGCACACCGAGCCATTTCATTCTTTTTTTTTTTAATTTTTGTGGTGTCAGATGTGTAAAATGAGAACACATTTGTGTGTGTGTGTGTGTGTGTGTGTGTGTGTGTGTGTGTGTGTGTGTGGTTATTTTTGGTGGTTCTGGGGATCGAACCTAGGGCCTTGTATGTGTGAAGCAAGAGCTCTCCTACAGAGCCACACCCCCTGCCCAGTCACTTCATTCTTTACCTGCTGCCCTTGGGAGCAGAATCCCCACGAATGCTGACTCTTTTGGCGGGGGGCCTGGAGGTTGAATCCAGGGCCTTCACACTGAGCTCCAGTTCTAGTACTTTCGAAACATTTTTATATTGAAGCAGGGTATCACTAAGTCACTAAGTTGCCCAAGCTGGACTCAAACTTGTTATCCTCCTGCATCAGCCTCCCAAAGTGCTGGATTTGATTTGAATTTTTTAACCGTCATGTTCCTGACATTGTCCCACGGACAGGGCAGCCTGGACAGTAGTCGATTAAGTGGGAGACACTGTGGAATGCACAAAGGAAGAGTTTTTAATAAACAAACTCAAGTGAAAACACGCCTTGCAGTGCCTCCACAGAGCAGATTGCAGACTTGGGCTACGTGGCCTCTAGCATAGAGCTGT